CAAACCTGAAAGACACCACTACAATGATTGCATTCATTCTCAACCAAGTCTCATCATTGTTGCTCCCTGATGCTTACACAGAAGACTCAGCTCTGAGACCAATGACCTGAAGTGACAGTTTAGAACATGTTCTCAAAACTGAGACTTCCTGGGTTCGAATCCCGGTCTGCCACTTATTACCCTTGACTTTCCTCCAGTTTAGTTTCCTTGTCTATAAACTGATCATGCAAATTTCCTATTCCCATATGAACATGAAATGACATACTATTGATTAACCACTTAGGACAGACCTTGGGATATGGTAGATGTTCCATAAATGTCCATTGTGGTCAGATGTAGAACACTGAACTCCCATAAACTCGAACTCTGGTCTCTAATTTCATGACAGGTCATAACTGATTTATCTGGACAATGGTGTAATTCCCCTAACTAACACATATGTCTAAGCAAGGAAGACCTGGAAGCTGTCACATTGAACTCACCGTTTTGGAGAATGTCTGGGGTCCAATCTGTATGACACACTGAGTAAGTTAAATCTCACCAGTGTCTCTCTGGGCCTCAAGGACATTGTCCATTTTAGCCCAATTGAAAGCTCTAGCTCTCTGTGGAGCCTAAGCCAAGACCTAATGACTATAGTGAAATGGCTCCCTGTGGTAGATTTCATGTACAGGTGCTTCATTTGCATTCTGTAAGTGAGAATAAAGAAAATAATGACAAAAAATGCAAATAATCCTCTGTGGTTATAACAAAATCACTTGTTATTTTCCCCTTTTCCTTCATCTGGCTACAGCATTATACAGTGACTTGCACAAACAATGTTCTCAAGAGCTATTTGTAAAGTAAATTAATAAATACACAGTGTAGTCCTGCACAAGAAGCACACTTATGGCTATGTTGTTTTCACTGGGAGTTTAAAACCAGGTTCAGGAGTGCCTGGGTAGCTCATTTGGTTATGCATCTGACTCTTGGTTTCAACTCAGGTCATGATCTCACGATTCATGAGTTCAAGTCCCATTCGGGCTCTGTGCTGACAGTGTGGAGCCTGCTTGGGATTCTCTCTCTCTCTCTCTCTCTCTCTCTCTCTCTCTCTGCCCCTCCCCTGCTCACACACAATCTCTCTCTCAAAATAAATAAATAAACGTTGAAAAAAATTTTAAACCAGGTTCAAGCCTCTAGGGCACACACACACACACACACACACACGCACACACACACACACAAAGTTCTTTGCATTATGTGCAAAATATGTATACAAAATTAACTTTGGTTAAAAAAAAAAAAAAAAAAAAAAAAAAAAAGGAATCTGCTGATTACAAAGCCAGATGAGAATGTAGAATTCACCTAAACAACATGCACACGTTACATATTTAAAAATGAATATTTGACATCTAGGATTGTTACATTATTAACTCAAGGTCAAAAAATAAATTAGGGGCAGAGCTAGAACTAAAATTTAGACTCTGTCCAGACCTCCATCCACTCCATCATCCTGCCTTTATTGGTAACATTACTCTGAACTTGCTTTCAATGATTCAGATAAATGCTGAGTGAAACCTTGTGAGAATCTGACAACATACCCTATCTTTATTTCTTGCCCCAACATCCCAGACTAAGGTCAGATTGTTAATCTTGTATTACTTCTTGATTCAGAAATTGACACACAGTTTAGTTCTTTCCAGAAGGATTAATGGGTTTGCCTTGTGTTAAAAGATATTTACACCACTCTTAAAAATACTGAGTAGCATTACAGAAAATAAATCAACGGAAGTTCAAGTTACCTTTCCAATATCAATCATATGTTGACAAGTCTGTCCCTTTCAAATTACAAATTGTTAAGAACTGTCTAGCTGGTTGCAATTGTTAGTTTTCAATGCAAGTCTTCTGTGAAACCACTATTTCTGCTAAAGGCATAGTTTGTTTTCTGCAAAAGATTTATTTAAATTTCTTAAGAAGTTTTGTGTGTGTTATATTCAATTTTCATGCACTATTATCACATCATTCCTAGTACCCTCTTGTCTGGCAAATTTGCTCTCTCACCTTCTGATAATATTTGGACATATTTCTTTATATGTTTAAAAATGTGCTAAAAGGAAACTCATGTCTTCATTTGTAATCAAAATTGTTGCTCATCAATTAATGAGCCAGTTCTTAATCATGGTAACTTCTGCCCATTGGAAAAAGGAGCATTTTGGCTAAAAACCCACTGCTGCCACCTAGTGTTACTGGACAAGCACTGCCTCAGCTTGATCCCTTGCCTTTGTGTGGCAGAGATGCCATCCTTTGTATTGAGAGGGAGAGAGAAAGGGATCAGTTACTTTAGCAATGATCTTAGTAATTAATTATTTAGGAAACTTTTGTCTCCTTCTATTGACTCTTTTATATTTGAATAGTCTGGGTTCCAGACATGCTTCTTTAATATGCTTGGCATTTGAATTCTTTGAAGACTTTAAATTGATGAATACTAAAGACAATGTGGTAGCTTAAGGCAATCATTCATATTGATGAAGTTCACTATAAATAGATGTATGCTGCAATAACCCACATGTAATAGCAATGTGTCCTTTTTATTCTATTCCTATTGATTCCAAACCCCCTAAGGATGTTGTTGTCAATAGCTGAGACAACAGCATCAGATGAAACTCACAGACCACCAAGACATTTTGCATTGCATGGCAAAGACAAGCCCAAGATAGAATCCCACTACTGTACTCCAGCTGACTTGATCATAGTACAATAATTTTTCTGTGTAAGAAATTATTTCATTGAATAGGAACTACTTTTCAAAGGGTCTAAAATAATGAGATTTAAATTACTTAAAAGATTCATATCTATTTTATAGGGATGATTATATGCCATTCAATAGAAGCTATTCATGGATAGTTGTTTGAAACATAAAGGGTTGGAGTTCCATGGTAAAGAGCAAGCTGTAGTGGCCAGTGTGTGATGACATGAGAAGTAGGTACTGAGAGAGGGAGGGTACTGTGATTACCTCTTGCCTTGCCGAGGTGGAGCAGATGTGTGTGTCCAGAGATCCAGGAAGTCTGTCTGAGGGGGAGAATACCAGAAAAGAGAGCTCTATCTCAGAAACAGGGGAAGCATAAAGCAGTAGGAAGGGTAGAGAACTGAGGGTCTCCAGTGGTGGATTGTTCCATTAATCTGATGTGCATTTTTGAGCCATCATCTAATTCTGTTGGGTCTTTCCTACCCTTGCTTATTCCCACAGACCATACCTGCACAAAATAAAATTGGGAAAGTATTCTTTACTGATGAAACTAAATCTCTGGAACATTCTCTTCTGAAAATACAAATAACATGAGCTCTTTTGTGGTACCTTCAGCTTTAAGATATACACAAAGAAATGGGCTCCCAAATTTCAGGGCTAAAGCCCCAATAAAAGTTTACATCTCATTTGTTTACTAGTTAAACACAAGTGTTCCGTAGGGAATCACCTGTGCGGAGATGCAGGCACTTGTACTTTGTGGGACTTCCATCCAGTAGGACCTTGGGCCCTTTCACTCCAGCCAAGGGTGGAAGGTCAGTGAGCGTGGAGAATTGCCTGAGACATCTGTATGCTCAGACCCGGTATTGCTTTATATCACTCTCACCCTCATTCCACTGGACAGAACTCAGACACATGACTATACACATGCTTCATAGGCTAAGGAAATATTATCTGGCCAAGATTTGTGCTCAGGAAGTAGAGGAAGTCGGTTTTGATGAATATACAGCAATATGATGAATATAGTACATACATATTTTTCAGATACCGCATGTTTGTCAGACGCAGAACTCAGCAAGCTACAGCCTCTGGTAAATCTAGCAGACTACTTGTTTTGGTGTATCCCATGAGCTAAGAATGCTTATTACATTTTCAAATAGTTGGGGGAATATAAGAAAGAAGATATACAATGGCCATCATTTATGGTCTGCAAAGCTTAAATATTTATTATCTGGTGTCCTTTATAGAAAATAATGGCCAACTCCTTCTACCTGTATCATTTAGTATCCTGGAAAGAAACAGATGTCACCCTCAAAATAACATCTTCTGAGGGGACTTGTATTCATTTTCTGCTGTAGCAGAACAGGTTACCATAAATTTGGAGGCTTAAAACAGCACACATGTATTATCTTGTAGTTTCTGTGGATCAGGAGTCTGGGCACAGCTTATGGTCCTTGCTCAAGGTCTAACCAGTTTACAATCCAGGTTTTGGTGGGGGCTATGGTCTCATCACAGGCTTGAACTGGGGCAAGATTCTTTTCCAAGAGACCTCCTGTTGTTGGCAGAATTCATCCCCTTATAGTTGTAGGACTGAGGTCTTCATTTTTATGCTGACCAAAGGCTGCCCTCAGGTTCCAGAGGCCACCCACAGTTCTCTGCCATGGAACCCTCTCCATGGGCAGCTCACAATAAGACTGCTTTTTCAAGGCCAGAAGAGCCTTAGGTAGTACAACCTAATTGAGGAGTGACATTCCCTCACCTTTGCGATGTTCTATTGTTAGAAAAAATGACAGATTCCACCTGTGCTCAGGGAGAAGGGATTCCACATAGGTAAGACCCATTTGTGTGTGGGGGGGGGGGGGTGGGGTTGGGGCCTGAGGGTGTGTCAGCCAGAGGATATTTACAAAGGTTTAGCAAAGTTGAGGCAAACCCATAAGGGACAGGGAAACTCTAGACTGGGTGAAGCTTTTGCCACTGTGAGGCATGAAGGGAAAAGGGGAGACAGTGCACCCAGAAGTGGGTGAGACTTCTAGCCGCAGGAGAGGACCACCTGTCAAGACCTGCTGCCCACAGGAGGAGGCCGAGCAGAAAGCTGGGAGTGGAGGGAGGGGGGAGTAAAAGTCAGAGCTTCTCTTTCTTTCAGTACTCCGTCGGCTGCCTGACCCACCCCCACCCTATCCAGCGGAAAGGCTGAGGGCAGACTGGAGACTGATGGAAGCAATCCACAGAAATCAGCCTCTTAGGGCAGAGAACAGGGTAGAAACGGTGGGAGAATGGATCTGGAGGAGCAAATTAAAGAAATCCCAACCATAGGGCTTTTGTCTTCCTCAAGTTTCAAGGACAAGAGCACGTTTCAAATGATCAGTCTAATATTTGTCCACAGCAAAATCGAGAATCACCAGGGTCTGCAACCATACAGAAGACCACTAAGCCTCCTCGGAATCATCTGAAGAGACAACACAACTTGGCTCGACTCAGAGGTAGGTTGATCTCAGACAATACTGATGCTTACCCAGCTCCTGGAAAGAAAACCGCAGCGGCACATATTCCAATCAAATGATGCAGTTGGAGAATGTTCTTTACGGAAAAACATGAATACAGCTCCACCCAACACCGGGAGCAGGGAACACCTGCTAGTACTTCCCATTTGCATGTCTAGCTTAGCGTCTGTCCTTAAATGAGTTATGAGCCTTTTCCCACTGACTCGGGCCCGCTTTAGAAACAGAGGCATGCTCCATCTGGGGAAAGGTGATATTTAAAAGACTAGCCTTTCAGTAAGCAAATTTCTAAATGGTAGAGCCATTTGACTACTAGGTTGGCTTCCCCAGACAGCTGCTCAGCAACATCAGCTGCAGCTTGGAGATGGTGCCTTTAAAAAGCAGGACCATATTGGATCTAGAATTGCTAATAGATAATTAGGGAGACAAAGGCAAAAGAATTAAGGCACATCATTCTTTGGCATGTTTCTAGACGTTTTTTGTTTTGTTTTAGGCATATAAGAGAAGAGATGGTGATTATTCAAAAGTGAGTTTGGAATTGCTATCATTCTTAACTAGTACATTCATAGAATGTAAGTATGTCTTGTATATAATAATACCAAAAGTACTAGAGATGCAGAAAGTGAGAACAGATTTTAGAAACAAGGGTTTGAGCAGGAATCTACTGCTAATAAAAGTTCAGTAAATCCTTTGGTTAATACAGGAGGCTTTCCTTCATATCACTTCCTCTCACACCCTAGAACCCAATAAGATATTGCTGCCTAATTGAAAAGTTTTCTAATAAGAGTTTAGGTAAAACTAATTTAAGAGAACTCATTTGCTAAATATAATAACATGGCAGACTCTCTATAGCAACTTTACTGGTTTCCTATAAATAGAAAATTAATTAATGGTGAAGAAAATAAAGCAGTAACCACACCAGACTGTGAAGAGAAGTATTATTTTAACCTTGTATTAACTGTTAGTTCATTACAGTAAATTACAATGGCCATGGGAAGTTGGTCTGGATACCAAATTTACTTATTATTCGTGCTACTGGAATCAGATACCATATGAGTTCATAATGATGAGATATTTTAAGTCTTACCATAAAACATGTAGCGTGTAAAACTACGAGCAGCAAAGTTTTGCTATCTCCCTGGGCTATACAAATACATACTTAAAAATGAGTATCTTGGAGTGCCTGGGTGGCTCAGTTAAGTGACACCAAGTAACACTCAGTTAAGTGTCTAACTCATGATTTTGGCTCAGGTCCTGATCTCATGGTTGGTCAGATCAAGCCCCGTGTCAGGTTCTGCACTGACAGCCCGGAACCTGCTTGGGATTCTCCCTCTCCCTCTCTGCCCCTCCCCTACTTGTGCTCTCACTCTCTCTCAAAATAAATAAATAAACTTTGAGGCACCTGGGTGGCTCTGTTGCTTAAGCGTCCAACTTTAGCTCAGGTCATGATCTCATGGTTCATGGGCTTGAACCCCACATTGAGTTCTGTGCTGTCAGCTCAGAGCCTGGAGCCTGTTTGGGATTCTGTGTTTTCCTGTCACTCTGCCCCTCCCCTAGTCAAGTTGTCTCTCTGTCTCTCTGTCTCTGTCTCTCTCAAAATAAATAAACATTAAAAAAAAATTTTAAGAAAATGAGAATCTTTAAGAATTAGGTATAAAGGAATATTTTAACTTCTTTTTTGAATCTTTTATATCAAATATTACTTTTATACTACAAAAGTAAAATTTATTTTTTAAAAATCAAAGTGGCATAGGGAGGAGCCAATATGGCGGAACAGCATGGAAGTTTTTTATGTGTCTCACGTCCATGAAATACAGCCAGACCAATACTAAACCATCCTACACACCTAGAAAACTGATCTGAGGATTAACACAACAATCTGCACAACCTGAAACACAATTCACCAGGTATGCAGTGTGGAGAGGTGAACTTGGGGAGAGAGAAGCCACAGAGGTCAGGGAGGTGCTTTTGCAGGTGGAGAGAGGACGGAGATGGGGGGGAGATAATATGGGAAAAGTACCCCCCCCCCAAAAGCAGCTGGAAAGAAAATGGAAAAGTGGAAATAGCCGCAGGGACTGACCTAAAAAGGGAGAAAGGAGAAAGGAGCAAGGAAAGGGTTTAAATTCCATTAAGACTATAAACAGGGGGAATGCAGAGTCTGAAACTCCGCAGCTCCATACCTGGCGGTGCTCTGGTGAGAAGGGCAAATCCCCAGGAGCAGAGTGGAGTCCGGGGTTCTTCAGGTCACACGGGGAGAGGCGGTTCCCCTGCTGGGAGGACACCTGGTAGAGGCTGTGTGAGCCCCCAGAGGCAAGGCTCCAGCGGACCCGGGAGAACAACCACATTCCCTGGTGCTGGAACAAGGTCGTTAAGGGCGAAGCCGGAGGCCAGATGCGTTTCGTGATTTTCCATAATCCCTGAGGCGCTGCTGCTACACTGTCTTGCAAACTTTTTCTTTTTCCGGCGCGGGCTGGCACCCGGCTGCAGTCTCTGGGCGTCGGCAGCAGCATGGCCTCGAGCATTCCTGGGAGCGGCCGGCACCTGGCCATTGCTCGGTGAGACCCTCCCGCAGACCGGCAGATCAGGTCAAAGCCTCAGTCCCTCAGAAATAAGGGATCGGGAAAAACAGCCGCATCTGAGACAAAACTCAGGAGGGAGGTGCTGCCTGGGGCTTGGTCACGGACCGTGTAAAAGCGGGGAGTGGATGGAAGCCGAAGACAAAGGATGGGCGGGTGATTGCTGATCCGGGAGAACAGAGTTCCTATACTAGACGCCATTTTCACTGCTCTCGCGCATGCCCATACGCACCTACAAGCTCCACAACAATCCAACCCAATAAGCTAAGCAGCGCCATCTAGTGGAGAACGGCGCCATTACCAAGCCCCGCCCAACTGGGCTAACCTCGCTCTTCAGGAACACAAGTTTCTCCACCTGCTTAGTTTACAGACTATAAATTCCTTCATAGTTTGACTTGTAAGGGAAAACGAAGTAATTTCAACCATATTTCAGTCTTTTCGCTCGTCCATCTATTTAATTTTCTTTTTTCATCTCTTTGTCATTTCTTTTTCTTGAATACAGAAAGAGAAAAAATTATTTTTATTTTCAATTTTTATTTAAAATATTTTTCTTTAATTTTTTTCTACTATATTTTTTTCTTTTTTGTAAATTTTTTCAAATTTTGTTTTACTTCCATCATTTCATTTTATTCTATTTCAGTGTATTCATTTTTTCAAAATTTCAAACAATTTCCTTTTTTTTTCTTTCCCCTTTTTTCTCTAATCTATCAAGCCCCTTTCAAAACCCAGACCAAAACACACCTAGGATCTAGCTTCATTTATCTGATTTGTGTGTGTGTGTGTGTTGTTTTTAATTTTTCAATTTTAATTTTTTATTTTAATTTTTTTACCTCATTAATTCCTTTTCTCCTTTCAAAGTGACTAAATGAAAGAATTCACCCCAAAAGAAAGAGCAGGAAGAAACAATAACCAGGGACTTAACCAACACAGATACAAGCAAGATGTCTGAACCAGAATTTAGAATCACGATAATAAGAATACTAGCTGGAGTCAAAAATAGATTAGAATCCCTTTCTGTGGAGATAAAAGAAGTAAAAGCTAGTCTGGCTGAAATAAAAAATGCTATAACTGAGGTGCAATCTCGAACGGATGCTGCGATCGCAAGGATGGATGAGGCAGAACAGAATCAGTGATATAGAGGACAAACTTATGGAGAATAATGAAGCAGAAAAAAAGAGGGAAAATGAGGCAAAAGAGCACGATTTAAGAATTAGAGAAATCAGTGACTCATTAAAAAGGAACAACATCAGAATCATAGGGGTTCCAGAAGAGGAAGAGAGAGAAATAGGGGTAGAAGGGTTATGTGAGCAAATCATAGCAGAAAATTGTCCTAACCTGGGGAAAGACACAGACATCAAAATCCAGGAAGCACAGAGGACTCCCATTAGATTTAATAAAAACCAACCATCAACAAGGCATATCATAGTCAAATTCACAAAATACTCAGGCAAGGAGAGAATCATGAAAGCAGCAAGGGAAAAAAAGTCCTTAACCTACGAGGGAAGACAGCTCAGGTTTCCAGCAGACCTATCCACAGAAACTGCAGGCCAGAAAGGAGTGGCAGGATGTATTCAATGTGCTGAATCAGAAAAATATGCAGCCAAGAATTCTTTATCCAGCAAGGATGTCATTCAAAACAGAAGGAGAGAGAAAAAGTTTCCGAGACAAACAAAAATTAAAGGAGTTCGTGACTACTAAACCAGCCCTGCAAGAAATTTTAAGGGGGACTCTCTGAGGGGAGAAAAGATCAAACAAACAAACAAACAAACAAACAAATAAAGACCAAAAGCAACAAAGACTAGAACGGACTAGAGAACACCACCAGAAACTCCAACTCTACAAGCAACATAATGGTGACAAATTCATATCTTTCAGTACTTACTCTAAACGTCAATGGACTTAAATGCTCCAATCAAAAGACACAGGGTAACAGAATGGATAAGAAAACAAGATCCGTCTATATGCTGTTTACAAGAGACCCACTTTAGACCTAAAGACACCTTCTGATTGAAAATAAGGGGATGGAGAACCATCTGTCACGCTAATGGTCAATAAAAGAAAGCTGGAGTAGCCATACTTATATCAGACAATCTAGACTTTAAAATAAAGCCTGTATCAAGAGATGCAGAAGGGCATTATATCATAATCAAGGGGTCTATCCACCAAGAAGACCTAACGATTGTAAACATTTATGCGCCAAATGTGAGAGCACCCAAATATACAAATCAATTAATCACAAACGTAAAGAAACTCATTGATAGTAGTACCATAATAGTAGGGGACATCAACACCCCACTCACAGCAATGGACAGACCATCTCATCAAAAAATCAACAAGAAAACAATGGCTTTGAATGACACACTGGATCAGATGGACTTAACAGATATATTCAGAACATTTCATCTTAAAGCAGTGGAATATACATTCTTCCCCAGTGCACATGGAATGTTCTCCAGAATAGACCACATACCTGGAAATAAATCAGCCCTCAACAAGTACAAGATGATCGAGATCATACTGTGTGTATTTTCAGAACACAACACTATGAAACTCAAAATCAACCGCAAGAAAAAATTTGTAAAGGTAACAAATACTTGGGAGACTAAAGGACATCCTACTAAAGAATGAATGGGATAACCAAGAAGTTAAAGATGAAATTATAAAGTTCATGGAAGCCAATGAAAACAATAACACCAGAACCCAAAACCTCAAAACCTCTGGGATGCAAGAAAGGCGGTCATAAGAGGAAAGTATATAGCAATCCAGGCCTTCCTAAAGAAGGTAGAAAGATCTCAGATACACAACCTAACCTTATGCCTTAAAGAGCTGGAAAAAAAGAACAGCAAATAAAACCCAAAGCCAGCAGAAGACAAGAATTAATAAAGATTAGGGCAGAAATTAATGCTATCGAAACTAACAATCAAACTGGTATAAAGTAGATAAAGTGTAGCCAGAAACTTGTTTCAAACCAACAAAATACAATGGAGAGCTTTACGTTTTCTGAAAGAGAGGTAATGGTGGATTATTTATCTTATCCAAGAGACACTTGCAAATATCTTGCTCTCAAATCCACTTTCATTTTATAACTATATGATGACATAATACAGTGTTAAGTGGAATTCAGTAGTTATCTATTTAATTTGGACATCAGTAAGATTTCAGAAAATATCACATAGGGCATGGGTGTTCTAGAGCAAAATTGGTATTTATGTTGACCAATCTCCCCTTAGTGTAGTCAGATTTTTCACTTTATATTGAACGAGATAGAACTAGCACAAGTGTTATGAATTTAAAATAGCACCCCTCCATAGCTTCCCACCCTCCTTCCCTCTGTGTATGTAATATATGCAGTGCCTGGTCCAGAGCCCTCCTGCTAAATCAGCCCCTTTGTAGCTCTGTCCTCCGTTATGTTCCAGACTTCAGCCACACCCTGAGTACTCGTCATGATCAACATTCAGAACTGGGTGCTCTGACTTCACCTTCCATATTTCTCTACCTTCACATCATGGCACATGAGAATTCCTCAAATGGAAAGAGCTCCCTTTTTTTTTTTTTTTCCAGCCGTGTAAACTCTTCCTCATCTTATAACGTGAGCATACCCTCTTCTGTACAACCTCCTCGTCACGCTCATGCAAAAATTATTCATTCGTTCTGAGATCACCTAGCACTTTGTAAATATCATAGTATTATTTAAACTGCACTGCAATTATTTGTTCACATGTCCATCTACACCACTGAATCCAAGATAGCTCCTTCTCACTTATCCCTACCCACCACTAGCATGGTGGCACAAAATAGTCTTTAATGAGTTTTTGTTTAATGAATGAGTGATTAAATGAATGGCTGAATATTAAAGTTGCCCTATTGAGAATCAATAGTCTGTTTTATAGCACAGGAAAGAATACTGTATTCAAAAGTTTACATATCGGTCACCTGTAATTTAGGGAAATATTAAGAATAAATAACAGGGACTAATACATCCTTAACCCCAGCATATATGCCAGTTTTTAATCTCCTGGACCTATGTATATGCAGAGATAGCTCTAGTTTTCTAGCCACCTCTGCTAAAGCTTAAACACATTAACAGGAATGGCATGGCCATGTGAGATCAGCAAAGAAGGGAACTGAAGTTCATAAGTTCATTGTGGGAGAAAATGCAATAGAAAGAACCCAGGCCCACTGAATATCTCTAATATTGGGCAGAAAAACAAAAACTTTATAATCTAGGTTTTTAGAAACCATGCAGAGCCGACACAAAGCATGCGCTGTAGTGTTTTCTCGATGCCAGTAGAGGGCAGCACATACTTCATTAACAGGGTGTGCTGAATTCCTACTTCTGCAGCCAGGGATTGGAATAAGTGCTCTAGCAGCAAAGATCCTAGGATTCTTCCACTTCAACACAAGTTTCCTCAAGAAACTGTATTCTGTAAATATTTTCTGTGTTAGCATCATTTTATCAAATTGTGTTGCAGATTTCAAACTGCGTATTTATACTTTGATGGACAGTGTGGCAGAGTGGAATGGATGTAGCCTGTGGGGCTGGACAGAGGAGACTTTTGCATCTGGAAGCCACCACTTGCCAGCTGTGTGATTTGGTCAAGTTACTGAACCTTTCCAATCTTCCTTTTTCTCATCTTTTTTTTTTAATTTAAAGTTTTTATTTACTTATTTTGAAAGAGAGAAAGAGGAGTCAGGGGAGAGGCAGAGAAAGAGGGAGAGAGATCATCTCAAGCAGGCTCCGTGCTGTCAGCAAAGAGCCCCAGGTGGGGCTCGATCGCACACACTGTGAGATAATGACCTGAGAGCCGAAACCAACAGTCGGGTGTGTAACCGACTGAGACACCCAGGCGCCCGTCTCATCTTTAAAACACAGATGAGAAGATCTACCTCATGGGCTTAATGTGAGATCAAATAACAATACCAGTATCAGCTGGCTGTTTTGTAGTTGTCTCCCCACTTCCGTTTCTTTCCCAGGTAGAAAAGCAAGTATCTCCAAATGCGTACCATACGCAAGTGTCTTGCAAGACACCAGGGCAGAACCAAAAAGTGCCGGAACCAGCCTGGAATAAATGTGCCAAGTGAATCAAATTCCTCTGCCAGCAGCTCTGGCAGAGAGTATTAAAACCCTAAGAGTACTAGTAATCATAATGTAAAGCTTCTTGAAAATAATAAACGCCTCACACACTGTGGAATTATGGAAACAGAAAAGACAAAGCCAATTAACAATGTGTGATAGAGCACTGCTGCATTTCCCAGGATCTGGTAGGAATTCAAGACGTGTTAGTCTTTTTATTTTATTTTGTTTTACTTAAAGTTTATTTACTTTGACAACAGAGACAGAGACAGCATGAGCAGGGGAGGGGCAGAGAGAGAGAGAGAGAGAGAGAGAGAGAGAGAATGAATGAATCCCAAGCAGGCTTCATGCTGCCAGCATAGAGGCTCAAAACCACAAACTGTGAGATCATGACCTGAGCTGAAACCAAGAGTCGGACACTTAACCTACTGAGCCACCCAGGCGCCCCTAGTCTTCATTTGTAACAGCCAAAACATGCAAGCAAAGTATTAATTGATAGGTGAATGAGTAAAGAAAATGTGGCATTATATGTATAATGGAATTTCGTTTGGCCATGAAAAAGAAGGAAATCTTGCCATTTGCAACAACATGGATAAAACTTGAGGATATTATGCTAAATGAAATAAGTCAGAGAAAGACAAATACTGTAAGATCTCACTTACATGTGGAATCTTAAAGAGCTGAACTTGTCCAAACAGAGTAGATTGGTGGTTGCAGGTTGCAGGGGGAGGGGGAGAGAATGATTGAAGTTGGTCAAAAGGTACAAACTTCCAGATATTAGATGAGTAAGTTCTGGGAATGTAATGTCCTACATAGTGACTATAGATAACAACACTCTGTTCTATACTTGAAACTTGCTGAGACAGTCAATCTTAAAAGTTCTCACTACACACACGTACAAATGGTAACTATGTGGTGGTGAATGTGTTAACAAACCTTATTGTAATAACCATTTGCAATATATGCATATGTCACATCATCACCATGTACACCTTAAACTTATAGAATATTATGTTATTTATATTTCAATAAAGCTAGGATTAAGGAAGATGTTAGTTCTTACCTTCTGCACATACCTACATCCCTCAAGATGCTATTTAATATTATTTACCATAGTCTGTTTTTATTAAAAATATTTGATCACCATTTTTAACATAGTAATATTTTATAAACGTGACATTAAATAAAAGCATACTTTTAATTTCTCAGTCTTGTCCAAGTCTCATAGATTTTATTACACAAAAGGTTTGTTATAATTGGTTTTTATGTTCCTTTTAAGTTTAAAGCTAAAGCTTTATTTCACCAAGGATGCCAAACAAGTGAGAGCCAATAACAAAACCAGGGTACCAGACTGTGGATGAACAGCTGAGAAATTCAGTGCAAAGACAGCAGAGTCCAGACCCATTGGGGTTTTTTTTTTCCTTTTATCTAATAATTTATTTATTTTTTATAATTTACAGACCCATTGTTGACTTGCCATGTCAGTGCAGACTTGACAAGCTGGGAGCAGCTCGGCACAAGGGGTCTTTGTGTCTTTTCTAGTGGCGCCTGGTCAAAGGACGGGGCCACAGCAATGGGCATTGCATGCCGTATCTCAATGCTCATGAGAACTATGGAAATAAGTGAAGCGCACTCAAATGAGAACAAGGAGAGGTTCTTTATTCAGAACTTTCCCTTGCAAAGGGGGTTGGCCACCATCACTCGTGTTTGGCAGCAGCTCGAAGAGAGGGGGCAGAGCTTTCCAGTGGAAGAAGGAATGGCCTCAGGTACACACTGATTAGAGGCTGTCAGGATGGGAACACTGCAGGTGGGCTACATAGGAGTGAGGCATCTTCTGGGATTAGTTAGGGGTGCATATTTGAATTTCTCTTGTTGGTTCTAAGTTGCAAGAAAGGGCAGAAATTAGTTGTTAATCATGTCCGGCCCATTTTTTTTTTTAAAAAACAATTTGAAACGTATATTTATCCTTGAGAAAGAGAGAGAGAGCACAAGCAGCGGAGGGGCAGAGAGAGAGAGGGGGAGACAGAATCTGAAGCAGGCTCCAGGTTCTGAGCTGTCAGCACAGAGCCTGATGTGGGGCTTGAACTCATGAACTGCAAAATCATGACCTGAGCTGAAGTCGGACATCTGACTGACTGAACCACCCAGGTGCCCCGTGTCTGGCCCATTTTGATTCAATCATCACATGGTTATGTTTGGCCCCCAATTATAGATAGTAGGTTGGCCTCCTGGGCTGGTTGTAGGTCAGAGTTTACATATGGTCTGGTCATTGCCCCTTTGTGTATTGAGTCTCCCAATATGACAGAAATAAGCACCAGGCCAGTGAGATACCTTTCTCAATCCCTAGATTGAGATCCCAGAGATCTCCTAGTCTCTGACCTCTGACCTCTCTAATTGTAACCCTGGGGGAGTCACTTATTGTCTCTGGGCCTCATATTTCTTCTCTGAAAATTGACAGTTTTCATCTAGAAACTGTTCCCAACCACATGTTGTGAGTGTATAAATGGAAGGGAGAAATGGTTCTGGGGAAGGAGCATGCTGGTAGTGACTGGCACCAATGCAGCAAAGTCAAGTGAGTGTTGGGAGAATGTAGCTCCGGTAAATGTTGTTACCTGGCAGGTATCTTTCTGTGGGAGAAAATGGTTGAAAACCACTGATCCAGTTAAATCTGTCAGCTTCCTTCCACTCTAATTGCAGTAAGAACCAATCCTTGGGGCGCCTGGACGGCTCAGTCAGTTAAGCGTCTGACTTCAGCTCCGGTCATGAGCTGTCAGTTGGTGAGTTCAAGCCCCACATAGAGCTCACTATTGACATCACAGAGCTTGCTTAGGATCCTCTGTCCCCCTTTCTATCTGACTCTCCCTTGCACTCTCTCTCTCTCTCAAAAATAAATAAACATTAACATATTAAAAAAAAAAAAAAAGAACTGATTCTCGGCTATAAACTACCCACCTCTCAGTCTGTGTGTGACGACGACTATGCTTTATGGGTGTGAGGGCAAAAGTAAATGCTGTCCTCGTGATTGCCATGGGGTCAACTGGCAGGTATGTGCTGATCGGAGGCCAAGATCAAACAGTGATATTGATTTAATCATTAAGTTCCTCTTGGTTTTCCAGTCTCACTGATGTTAATCCTCTTCTTTTTCAAGTGTTTAGTTGTCCTTGTGGAGCCACAGCCTCTGATAAAAATTAAATTACTATTGTTTATTTCTGAACAAAATGTTAGGTGAAATGCCATATGCTGCCCTCTGCAGATTATTGAACTAACAGACCACTGTCAGTCATTTGGAGTAGTTTTGCCAGAAATTGTGATGAATTTCTTTCTTTAAAAAAAATGTTTAATCTCACTGACATAGTTCTGTGTGTACAACATTAAAGTTTATTGTTTTTAGTAGATACCAGGTATTTATCTAGGTCCAAAAAAAACTATCCACAAATAAAAGCAGGTCCTAGTCCTCCCTGGGGCTCATACTCTAATGCTATAAATTGTACTTAAATACTTAATATTTCCAAAGTGATAAGTATTAGGAAGTAAGATAAGGAGGTAGAGAGTGATCAAGGGTGTTACTTCCATGAACTCGTGGTAGATGACTTGTCTGATAAATTGATACTTGAACAGAGACATGCTGAAAGTGAAGGGAAAAGCAATTTGGATATGAGGGGAAAGATTTGGGGCAAGGAAATAAGGTACCACAGCATACTTCGCATGTTCCAGACACAGGATGGAGGCCAGTGTGGTCAGAGCTGAGGGAATAAGGGGAGGGAAGTAGCAGTGATCACAGTATGAGAGGCGTAGAGAAGTAAGATCTTGGAAGGTCTTGGCATTGTGGTAAGAATTTGGGGACTTGCTCTGAGTAAGATGAGGAGGCATTAAGGGTTTTGAAACAGAGGAATGACATGATCTCTTTATATTTTATTTTATTTTGAAATGTTTCTTTATTTTTGAGAGAGAAAGAGAGAGAGAGAGCATGCAAGTAGGGGAGGGGCAAAGAGAGAGAGAGACAGAAGATCTGAGATGGGCTCTATTCTGACAGCAACAAGCCCGATGCGGGGCTTGAACTCACTAACTGTGAGATCATGACCTGAGCTGAAGTTGGACACTCAACTGACTGAGTCACTCAGGTGCCCCTGATGTCTTTATATTTTAAAGCATCACTCTGGTTTTTAGGCTGAGAAAAGACCAAAGGAGGACAAAGATGGAAGAAGTGGGACAAGTTGGGAGGCCACTGCACTGCTGTAAATGTGGTTTGGACTGTAAAAGTCCATTTGGCTTGGACTAGGAAAGTAGCAGAGAGGAAGGTGAGAAGTCATCTTACTGGATGTGGGGTGTGAACAAAAAAAAAAGCGGGACCTGGGTGGCTCAGTCGGTTAAGCTTCCAACTCTTATTTGAGGTTCAGGTCATGATTTCGCAGTTAGAAAGTTTGAGCCCTGTGTTGGGCTCCACACTGACAGCCTGGATCCTGCTTGGGATACTCTCATTCTCTCTCTCTCTCTCTCTCTCTCTCTCTCTCTCTCTCTCCCTCAAAATAAATAAATAGACTTTATTAAAAAAAAAAAAAAAAGGAAGGCTTGAGCCCTCAGACATTCAAATATTTCGGATCTGGAAGATAAGGTGGAACCAGTAAAGAATCTTGGGAAGGAAAGAAAGAGATTCAAGAGAGAATGGTAGCCTAGAGTCCAAGTAGAGAAAATGTTTTAAAAACAGAGAGGTAACCTTTTTTAAATGATGTCAATAGAGTAAGACGAAAAGCAGAGAAGTAGAGGCCATGAGTATGAGAGATTCTCTGAAAGAGTTATGCTGAATTTAAAATGGAGTATTACCTCAGAGGCACATGGAGAAAGTAGTGTTTTTTTTTTGGTTTTTTTTTGTTTTTGTAATAAGGTATTTTGGCATGTTTATATGGTAAAGGAAATTAGTAGAAAGAGTAATTTATGACACAGGAGAGAGAGAGGATGCCTGCAGGAGTGTTGTCCTCAAGTAGTCAAGAGCGGATGGTACTCAGGTCCCAGTGTAAGGACTAAATAGTGTGTGCCAAGTTCATTTCAACAGGAAGAAGGGTGGAGCTACTCACACAAAGGTAAGTGGGTTGGTAGATATGTTGATGGAAGAGTAGGGACATTTTCTTCTCCATTTTACAAAGGGAATAAAAAGCAAAGCCATCAGCTAGGATTGAGGAGAAAGGAGAAATTGTTGCAAGTTTGATGGTCCCTGGCCACTGGTACAGTTTATGAAATGAGTTTTGTTCCCAAGTCAAATGATACAGAGCACATAAAGACTTAGGACTTTCATAAGCCATGAAATTAGCATACTTTCATAAGCAACTGACACAACGCATTCATTTTTTTCACTTAGGTACTCATCAATCATTTCTTAACTTTTATTGATAATCTGTGATGTGCTCACTGTGATCAACTCTGGAAAAATTATACCCAAATAAGTCTTAGTCACGGTGATTACAGAGGTGATTACAGTCTAGGGGAGGAGGCAGAAATGGGGGAAAAATAATACTACATTTCTCTTTATTTGATTATAAAACATGTCATCTTTACAGTGATCATTCTTCACTAGAATGTCATCTTTTCAGGGATCACTCTTACTAGATGTCTTGGGACATAATTGGGAAATATTCTGTCATGTTCTACTAACAATCACAGTTGTAGGATTACATGTTCCCATTTTTGCTTAAGAAAATATGGTTATTATCACCATTACTGGGGCACGTTCAAAGTGCTAAGAGAGCACAGAGTAAGGCAGTCTAGCTAGAGAGTTAGAAAGAGATTCATTCGAGCAAAGTCTTGAAGGGTGAGTGCAAAGACAGCATAAGCCATACACCAGCAAGAAAATATGTCAAACCCAAGCGGCATGAATCTGGACAGATATGCTGAGAGTAACCTGAAAGCAAAGATAGTCTTACTCCTCAGGTAAGCAGGAGTCACAGAGTTTTTATTTAGTGTTTCATTTTTAAGCAGGAAAGGAATGACATAGTTGGATTTTGCTTTAGATAGACCGGTTAGGTGGCTGTGTGGAAAGCAATGGAAGGAAGAAGGGCTCGGTATGGTGTTAGATGTAACAGGTAGGAGCCTGATGAGGACCTACAGTAGAACGTGAACACTGCTGGTGGAAGGAATGGATGGGTTAAAGACACATTTCCCAAAGGGTGATACATGGTGTGCTGGCTGATGGTAATACAGAGTAAAGGCACATAAGGGAGTCAAAGATTTCCCTAAGTTTTCTGCCTTACCCGATTGGGTGAAACAGAAATTACAGGACAGAGGGCAAGTTTCTTTGCTTGCTTTCTCTCTCTCTCTTTTTGGGGGGGGGGGGGGGGCCCACTATGATGTTTTGATTTTAGCATTATGTTTGATTTGTAGGTGTCTACTGGCCAGTGAAATACAGGACATAAATGAAATATACGACAGTGTTCTGGAGACAAGGATTTGGAAGTTATAGTTGTGTAAGTGCCAGTGAAAGCTTGGGGGATGATGATCTCACCAAGTGTTTATGTCTGCAATGAGAAAAGAAGACTGAAGTCTGACTCTGCGAGGAAATACTAGTAATTAAGAGGCAAGTCAGGATGAGCCTGTGAAGGAAAGACATGACCAACTTATCCAGTGCTCCAAGGTGGCCTGGAGCCAGGTTTCCGGGTTAAGCCATGAGTCAGCCAACGGTGGCTTCAGTGAAAACAGCTTCAGGTGTCATAGCCACGTGGAAGAGAATGGAGATTTAACACCAGGGGTGGTGATTGTACATGTATAAAAAAAACCCTGCACCCTATAACCTCTACCCAAGTCCCTTCTTGGAAACCTAGAAAATAAAACCCAAATATAGTTTTACCTGGGCCTTGAGCTAGGCGTGTACAAGAAGGAAACACCTGTACAAGAAGGTACGTCTCTATTCCTTAGTGGCTCTTTCTAAATTGCTCTGTGATAAGGCCATATGAACAACTTATAGGAAGAAACATTTGGGATATAAGTATTCAAACTCATTACATTGCTTTGTTTTCCAAACTGCACATTTTTAAAAACCTCAGAAAGAAGAACAGTGTTTGTATGCTACTTTTCCATATAACTGATCTTTTTAATACAGTATCTCATTCAACTTCCCAACAATTCTATGGATTTGATAATATTATTATCATTATTAAAACGTGGAAGTCAAGCCTCAGGACAGAGTAATAAATTTAGCTTCAGGTTGTCTGGCTAGGAAAAGGCAGAGCCAGGATTTAATTGAATCCGGGTAATCGAACCTCTGTGCTCTTTCCTCTGTATTAACTTGCTTATTCAGCAGATGATGCCTGGACCCAGAGAGATTTCCTTTAATTCCACAAAAAGCAAATTGCTGTTTTAACTGGGCTAATTCCCCTATAATTTGACAAATCAAAGTTGAGAAAGACCGTATTATTTTGTATGTAGATACTGTTCAAAATTTAAACAAGCATTTACTATTTCACATTCCAATGTCTATAACAAATACATAAGGCAAGTATTGAGACAGAAGAGAAAGTAGTATTTTCAGTAGTATAGGAAGTTCCCTCTGAAATACCACTCAGGTGACTCAATACTGCAAGCAATGAATGTAATTAAGCTTTACACAGTTACCGTGAACTAGTGTGACGTAAGAAAAGTACTGTGTGAATGATTTTAAGGGTTTTCTGTCCATTTACAAAGATCCTCAGGCCATGTGGGAGACGATGGAATCTTTAAATCCGGGGGGGAAAAAGTATGAAATCATTAGATGAGGGTCACAGAGAAACACCAACTCGTAGAAAGTTTGAAAACATCTGCAGGTTATACATACAAAACCAAGGGTTTTGTGCTGTTCATCATCAACAATTCAAAAGATTTTCCAAGAATATTTTGACAAGACTTGAGGTTTTTAATATTTAGGAAGACCCCAGACATAACACATGAGAAAAGTGGTATACTGCTAACGTTTCAAACTGAAGTCTTTGAAATCATCACTGAAGGTCACGTAGACTTCTGAAAGGGATGGTATGATTTAAGAGAGAAAAGTTAGGAGGACAAAATGAAAAGAAGTGATGTACACATCCCATAAAATCAAGACAAAGGACTGGTGTCAAATAGTACATTGTTGGGGAAAGCTCCTCCCTGGTGGCTTTTTCTCGAAGTGGCAGGAATTCAACTCCGGTGACTTTATTTCCATTCATATGAATTCTATCCAGCTGCCCATGCATATACCTTGCAGCATACACTTGCAAATACCTGGCCTAATTCCTGATTTCTGTAAAGCTACCATTTTCTTTACACCAAGGGTTGCAACTTGGGCTGGGGTCTTTGGAAATATTTGGAAACGTATATTTCTTTCATATGTATATGGAACTTTCACCATATATGCAAAGGGAACTCTTTAGAGTCTAGCCTGCTTTCCATACATGGAAAAGTACTTAGGGTAGTGGTTATTGGTAGTGGGGTTGCTATTTTGTCCTTCCTGGATGACATCGAATTTCTATCCCCTAAGGATAAAACAAGGTGACTCTAAAGTTTACCGGAATAAATCACTTCTGAAAGTACAAACTTCATTCTTTCATTGTAATCATTGACTAAAATGGTGGCCAAGGGTAAACCAGAGACTGAGAATTTCTGTCACCCACAGAACTGAGACCATGTTACTTGAATAAATGACATGTTAAGCCATGCTTAGCCATTGTATTTCCTGCTGAGAGTTTTGACAAATCATAGACTTCAAAATGCCATCATGGGGGAAAAATGAATTCTTTAGGAAAGAACAGTATTTGTCTTCCTCAAGTATAACTCATCATTAAGAACAAGTGTCTGGAAAAGAAAACAGTTCTTCAACTGACATTGTAACTTTGCCCCTTTTATTAACATTACAACAGAATTTTTCAAGGAAATCTGCATGCCCTTATTAGTTCTCTTGATCACTTGCCAATCTGTAATTAGTGAAGCAGCAACTTGTATAAAAGATTTTTAAAATGAATAATGCAAACAGGAGAAAATCATGCCTCTTAAAAAGTAATCAAAGTCTTTAAAAAATTTTAAGTACATTTTTAAACTATGCTATGCAAGAGTGTGTGTGTGTGTGTGTGTGTGTACACACACGTATATATAAAGTATGTCCTTAGTAAACATGAGTTAAAGAAGATGCAAATACACAGCTTACTATTTAAAGATTTGAATTTTATATAGATGTTGATTATCAAGTGTGTATTACATAGTAGTTATACTTATCATTATCTAAGAGGGTGTATTTTAGCTGACTGTGTGCTTTTTCAACAAAAACAAAATAAAGTAAAAACAAAGGATAGTTAATATATTTCAGACTATTCAATGGAATGCTTTTCTGCTTTATGACATTGAGTCTTAGATTCTTTCTCTATTGTAGCCAAAACTCACCTTGCATCTCTCAGATAAAGGACTTGCTGTCTAATGTCGACTTTGCTTAATGGCGCTAATCTGCTTCATTAACAAGAAGATCAGGTAAAAATTGACATACAGAGTACTTAGCCTTTAGATGAGTTTGTTGGGTCCCCCCCCCCCGGAACAATCAATGTCATTTTACATATATTACCTCATTGATCTCTAACATTGTTCAAGAATGGTGTTTTACATTTTGCAGAAAAGCTCCCTCTTATTAAAACAAAACAAAACCTTGAGTCCTTCTGAGATTCAACTTTTAATGTGTACACCTACCATATGTTAGTTCCTTGAGCAAAATTTGAATTGTGCACCTCCTAAATTCCTAAAAGGATTCTTCTGTTTGACTGATGGCAGAGATAGCATGGTCCATTCATTCCCCCTGTTGTTCTATTTTGGCTGTCCCCCAGGTGCCACATGTAAACCTTCAGTTAGGCTTTACCTGGGCTCACGACGACTTTGATCTTCTGGCTGAGTACGCAGAACTTCATTGCTGAATAGAAAGTATAGTTGATTGATACAACGGACAGACTTTTCAGTTTATTGTAAAAGCTAATCTTCAGATAGATTTCTCAGTGAAGGTAACAGCCTGCCTTGACAACTTGGTGAGCATAGTATCATCATTTCACACAAAATATATGGCAGGCATTAATTTTCAGTGTCAGATCAATTCATTGACCACAACTATCAAGAGCACAAAGGGACTAGACAATTAATTCCTTTTTGACATGAAATTACTATATAATAGAGCTGCAACCTTCACTCTTTCTCCAACCAATTGTCTGATACTATGCTTTCAGAGGTCATTGAAAGCATGGGGCATAAAACCTTTGACCAAAACTCTTGTCATGTTTCTAGACTTGTTTGCTGATTGATTTATATCAAATCACTGTTTTCTTTTCAAATGCCCCACCCCCAAATCTTCCAAAAGTGCTATTGCTAAGGTAGAAATATCAGAAAGGCATAAATTTAACATTTTTAACCCCTCCCCTATAATTTGATAAATTAAAAAAAATTTTTAAGAGTGAATATGCAGTATTTTTACACAATATATAATATTTTTATTTTTATTTATTTGTTTTGCTGCTTCCTCTCAGAAGTAGGCCATCTCCTGAGACCTGGAATTTGGTACTCTAAAGTTTATGCCTAGGATGAATTTAAAACGTGATAATTTGGAATATTTTGATGGAAGCTGTATTTTCTGAGATGTCATCAAAGAGTCAGATGAGGCTATCAAATGGCCTTTCCCACACTGCACACCCCTATATATCTAGCTTAATGCCTGCCATGTAGTGGACATTCGATGAGTACTTGTTAAGTTAATGAATGAGTTCCTTCTAAAGACATTGTGGTAATGTCTAATTTACATAAATTGATTCCGGCAAGTTGAGCGCAGATTGTATTTGTCAATGTTAGTCATGTTCACTCTGGTTAACAAAGGTGGTTTTTGTATTTCCCTGGGAATGCTGACGATGCAAAGCATTATGGCAGCATTCTAATCTGTGGAAACTAGGTGGCATTGGGAATGAAGAAGACATAAGCAAAAGGGAGCTCAGCATAGACGTTGAAAATGTAGACTCCGGAGCTGAAGTGCCTGGATTTGAGTCCTGGTTTTGCTCTGAAGCCTTGGACAAATTATTTAAACTCTGTGTTTTATGGAAGTGATCATAATAATGTCACCTTCATAAGCTTAAAGTGAGAGCATTCAATGAGGTAAAGCCACTAAAGCAATTCCTGACACAGAGTTTGTGAACTAGGAAAGGGAGAGTATCTCTACCATTGGCGTCCAATTTCAAAAATTAGTTTTCTTCTTCTTCTCCCATTGGCAGCCAATTTCAAAAATTAGTTCCTCCCCCTCCCCCTCCTTCTCTTTCTTGTAATTGCTCCCCTTCCCTCTAGGGGCCAAGGGCAGGCAACCCCAAGATGGACCACTTTGGCATGAAGATTATTTTGATCTGAAGGCAATCAAGACCCTGCAGGCTTAAGAGAAATTTTTTGCCCCTCCCTTAACTACAGAGAAGAATCTAAATTGGGGGTCTTTCCTAGAATAGTGGTTATTAGCAGAGATAAATTTTATCTGAGTGACCAATCTGTGTGGTAGGATAAACATCGAATTACCAAACATCTGCTCTTCTTCTTATTGCCTGTGAATTACATTTCTTTCCTGTGAAGTCCCAAACCCCTTTCCCCTTTTCGTTAGTTCAGAATGACATATGCACCTCATTTTGCCTGATTGTCTTTGGGATTTCCATGTCTGCATAGATTCACCATATATATGCTATTAAATTTGATTTTCTCCTGTTAATCTGTCTCATGTCAGTTTGATTCTTAGTCCAGCCAGAAGGAACCCTTGAAGGGGACAGGATTTCTTGCTGCCTGACAAATGTAAATACCAAAATAAATCAAAATATTTTTAAGTATATTTGCCCTCTTCAATGACAGTTGTGTTCCCATGATTATAGATCCTTCTCCTGGGAAATTCCTTAGGACACCTTGCACTAAGCACTCAACACTGAGCTCTTCATGACCTTGCAGGATGCCCAGACACACGAGTTCTCAGATCTCTGGTGGAAATTCTCAAGTCTCTCCAACTATATTTGTGCTGAGAATAATAAGATTCCCTGAATCTATATTAAGCGACACTGTGCTAAGTGCCTTGTGTACATGATGCCACCACATACCCTATCCAAGATGGAGCATTGTCACCCGATAGGACTCAGTAAAATCTCACAGTCCAGGAACATCCAACTGCTCTGCCTGTAGCAAACATCTGAGGCCATTAAGGGATTGGAGGTTAAGGAGGTAAACCAGCTTTAAACAGCCCACCATAGGCTGGTGATAATTCCAGACTACGCCCAGTTGCCCACAGGTCTTATGACTTCTGATGCAAGCCACTCAATAGAGCCCGTTGGTCCTGAATGCCCCCAAAATTCTGACTCTCCAAATCTCAACTTTCATAGGCTCAGATCCAGCCTTCTCTTCTGAATTGGCCTTCAGCTCCAATTTTGACTGATGTATCAACCACCCTTGGTCTGAGTATATGAGCCACTAAGTTTCTAGACTCCTAACCTAGAAACAGATGATACTGCTTATGGCCCACAATAAGGAAAATTGATTCACATAGAGACCATTTACACTAGCATTCATATTTGTAATACTTAATCCCACCCATGATGTTTTGAATAGCAGTGGACAGGTCTCCTAAAAAATATCTCCTTTATTGCCCATCTGCCACAGTCCCCAAATGTCACCATTTAAGATTTAATCAATCACTTCAGTCTTAACAGTGTTCTACCTATTCTAAACAACTCTGAGTTTCTTGAAAATTCTTGCTCCCTCAGACTATTTGTACAGGCCTCAATATCATTTGCATAGATCACCAACCATGAAAATATAAGACTCTATGACTTTATTACAGTTAATCTTATTATATCTATTATATTTAATATTCAAACTAAATCTGGTCACATTCATTATAACAGTCTCAAGATGAAGAAACTGAGGTTCAGGGCAGACCACATAGCTTCTGAGTAGCCAAGAAGTAGATGTGACTGATTCAAAGGCCATTCTCATTTTATTTCCATACTTCCTGCACAAATTTGGTTGACTTACATTTACTGATTTTAAGTTAAAAGTTTGAATTCACCCAAGTAACCTTTTATCCTTACTTTGCCTTTCTCCACAGTTGTTTTGATTCTATACAAACATCGACCCTGCTCACCAGTTAATTTCAAAGGCTTTTTAAATGTCAGGAGTTGAGCTGAGATTTCATGAGTCTCCAGTCTCTGAACAGGTCATTAGTCCAAAGCACTTTTTAGGCCAACCCATCCGCCCCTAGTGGCTCCAAATGCCAGTTAAACAGATGCCCACCCTTGATAATATCTACTTAAAACCCAAAGAGTAAATCTTAGAAGTGGCTCTGCAGATTTGACTATTGAAAGACTAATGGGTCCATATAAAATAATCTTCTCCCAACTTCTGGGTTTAGGAAAGCCCTAAAAACAAATTAACTTTAATGTTTTTCCAAGGTTTGTTAACCTTGCTCGCTCAACAGCTGCTCTGCTTTCATAATGAAAGAGAAACGAAGCCATAATGGCCCTAAGGTTGCCAAAATTTGGGGGTGAACAAGCTTTCTGTGCTCTTCAAAACATTCCCTCTCCATGAAGTGTGATTGTCAGATTCCAACAGTCTCAGGACATTTACATCCCGGCGGTGATGAATGCCACAGATAGACAGCAAATAGAACTGCAGTGAAATTTAATGTTCACTTTAGATGCTCCAGTTCTTATTAGAAAAGGTCACCCATTGTCCCACTCAGATGATTAATGCAGACTCTTACATCTTTATGGGATATTTCCGCAATATGTGCTGTCTAAGTGACTGTTTGTTCCTCATTTCAGACTCTACCAGTGCTTAATACTCAACATGAATTTAGATGGGTGGAAAAATGCCACTTTGCAGCTTCAGGTTTTTGTAGATTTCCTTGTTAAAAGGAAGCTTAAAATCATGGGGTCCAAAGAAAGTTCAAAGCCCATTTTCATCAAATTTCCCATAGCAGTTTTCTTTAAATGTATGCTGATAGCATAATTACTATGATAAACAAACCCCTTTTCAGTGGCACTTGGAAAATTCAAACCTGAACTATTTTCTTTCAGATGCTGATTAGTTAAATCCTGCCAGGTCAGTAGTAGTAGCAATAATCCGTTATTTCCTATGGTAGAAAAAGCCAAATTTCTAACATCATAAATACTCTACCTTACCTGCTAATGAGTTATAACATGGACACACAACACTGCTTGTGATATTTTTTAACTCAGGAAACTTGTTTTTTGTCACTTTCTGGGGTCGAACAAAATAACAGCTTTTAGATTCTCTCCCTGCACCTGTCCAAAGGATCCTTAGAGGACAGAACTTTTCAGTATCGACCACACAAATTTAAACACCTGGATCTCTATTTCTCTTGTTTTTGTTATCCTTGCCTCTATTTTTGGTTTTATTTCTTATTTCCCCAAACTTGGGCATTGTGGAAGGACAAAGCGCTTAAAGCCCAAGGTGATATAACTTTCATTTGTATAACATTCACCTGGCTATGCAAATTCATTACCAACTTTCTACCGTTGCCCTGGAAAGTTTCATGGAACCCAGGATCTTAGGTGGAGGAAGATTTTCCAGATGGAGTTGACCTGGAAGAATTTGCCCTATCACTCAAATGGCTTTTTCTCTGTGTCATTTTCCTTCTGCGGCGTACTAATGGTTTTGTTGTTGTTATGTGGCTGCTTGATGTGAGTTGCATTTCATACACTACCAAATTCAATATTTGTAGGCCAAATTGTTTTAGGTTCTGTCACTATGTTGGACACAAAGAACCGATCAAATTGTCAACAGTCAATGTGAAAGAATCAATTATATAGATCTAGCCCAGAGTCGGAGAAATGTAGGTAGTAAAATAAGATTTTCTTTTCTTTTTCCCATTCCTGCTGGCCAAAGAGGTTAAATCAGTTTACTTTAAATGCCATTGCCCGAATTTGGACCTGGTCATGTGGATGAGCCCAAATCAGGTACTAGCGAGTACTTACTATAATTTGTCCTTTTGTTGAAAAGACACAAGAAATATCAAAACCTCTCTTTTTACAATTATGTGTAAGACTTTAAGCATAAATTCAAAACAAATGGATATGTGAACAATCATTCCACTTTTACTACAAAAAAATTTTGGCTTAAAAGTGAAAGTTTAGGCATCCAAATTGGGAAAGAGAAAGTAAAATCATCTCTTTGTAGATGACATCATCTTATATATAGAAAATCCTAAAAATTACACACACACACACACACACACACACACACACACACACACACCTATAAGGACTCATAAATGAGTTCAACAAAGTTGCAGGAAAAATTAAAATTAAAAACACAAAACACGGTACATTCCTATACAATAACAATGAACAATTCAAAAGGAAATTAAGAAAGCAATAGCATTTTCTTTAGAGTGGTATCTCTCTTAGTTTGGGTTGCTATAACAAAAACACCATAGACTGGGTGGCTGAAACAACAAACGTTTGTTTCTCATGGCTGGGAATTCTGAGATCAGGGTGCTGGCATGGTTGGGTTCTGGTGAGAGCTCTCCTCCTGGTTCACACGTGGCTATCTTCTTTCTGTGTCCCCATACAGTGGATATTCGAGAAACAGGGTGAAAGCTCTCTCTTATTTCTTCTTATGAAGAAACTGATTTCATCATGGAGGCTCCACCCTCATGACCTAATCACCTCCCAAAGGTCCCATCTCCAAATACCACTGCACTGGGAGTAGTTTCAACATACGGAATTCGGGAGAACACAAACATTCAGGCCATAGTCACATCAAAAAGATTCCTGGGTGCCTGGGTGGCTCAGTCAGTTAAAGTCTGACTCTTGGATTCAGCTCAGGTCATGATCTCACGGTTGGTGGGATCAAGTATCCCCCCCCATCCCATGTCCAGCTCCATGCTGACAGCAGAGAGTCTGCTTTAGATTCTCTCTCTCGCTCTCTCTGCCCTTCTCCCTCCACCCCTCAAAATACATAAAACTTAAAAAAAAAAAAAGATTCCTAGGAATAAATTTAACCAAGGAGGCAAAGACTTATACACTTAAAACTATAAAATGTTGCTGAAAGAAATTAGAGACACAAACAAATAGAAAGATATCCTGTGTTTGTGGGTTGGAAGACTTACACTGTTAAGATATCAATACCACCTAAAGCAATCTACAGATTCAATGCAGTCCCTACCAAA